GATGGCTGTGAGGGCGGTGCAGTTCGCGGGGGCAGCGATGGGGGCGGTGGGGGCGGTTGCTGGTGATTTGGAGAAGCGGAGAATGCGTCGCTGGACCCGAAAGGGTTGGCGAGTGAAGTGCAGCAGCAGCATCGTGATGCAAGGAAGAAGAGGATTCCAATTTGGATGTCCAATTTTTGCCTACTCTACGTAGGACCCAGCGAAGAGCTCCGAGACTTCAGTCTCTCCGAGACCGAAGAGAACGAACTAGGTTCTCTTCAAAATTTGTTACTTCCGTACAAACTTCTGAATCAATGTTTTCGAAAGGAAAAATGTAAGTTCAATACAATTCACGAGAACAATTATTTACGATACAGAAAAATAAAACATGCAATGGTACAGTTACGTTTTCAATATTACGGATGTTTCCATTTTCCATCTGAGCACGTTCAAAATTCTCAAACAGCAGCTGGATCACAAGTGCATATTTTTGCGCAGGGAATAGAACAGAACACTGTCGGGTGATGTTCCTCTGAGTACATATTTCCACATGTAAAGTAGTATGTCCTTTGTTCTCGTCTTATATGAACACTTTTATGGATTACGCAAACACAGGTAATCATTTTTACAAAAGATTTACAAGTATTAATACAGCGAGAGGGGAAAAAACCTCATTATGTTCGTCTGAGGAATTAATGTTAATTATATGTGTCGCCCTTACGTATTTCAGCAACGACGTAATTGTCTCTCAAATAAGGTGACGGTGGTAACAATTCAATATGATATAACGGGCAATTCGTCAGGCCACCTCGCAAAATTCACAGCCTTGGTCGTCTCGGAGCTCAATGGTTAGAGCAACTTGGCGTGAACTAGCACACCCGAATATACGTCTCGGTCAGGGTCATCTTTGTTTGGACGAAATTTCATAATTGGATTGTCTTTGTTTTGCCGTAACAAGGTCGCATAGGAAACATTTACTATACGGAACATACCTGCCTGAGTATTATAAAAGGGTGGTGGTAATATAATATGATATTATTAAACAAACGTAGCTATATTTCAGAAGAAAGAAAATGAAGCCGTTTCTATGGGGAAATCTTTTTTTCATATTTTTGTCATTATTTCACTCAAAACTCTACAAAAACTACTCATAGATTAAAAAATATAAAATGACTAATTAATGATAAGGTTGAGAAGTGACTTTCACCCACAAATTGTCATTGTCATTGTTAGCTATAAAAGTTTACATTTTACTACTTATTTTAATGTAAAGTATATTGTA